CTTTGCTCAAGGTTTGCCCTCTATCACTGGAGCCACAGCTCCACTTCAACATTTCTTATGCTTCTATGTGCCAGATCTAACATACTCCAGAAGAGAAAGCAAGAACCCAAAAAACAAAACCAAAAAAAATCTCTTGTCTTCAATGGGCTACATCACTATTGTTTCCCTAGAACAACGGCTCAGGAAGAAACAATCATGAATCCAAGCTCTGCGATGAATTCCATTCTGTTGCTCTGGGAACTTAAGCCAATAGTTCAGACTCGGTTTCCCCATGAATGCAGCTGGATTTGGTCTCCCAGGCCCTCTTTTGCTGTTTTATTTTGTTGTTGGTGGTGATTTCTTCCTTTTTATATGCTTTTTTTTTGTTGTTATTGTTGGTCGTGGGACCTGAACTCTGGGCCTGGGCGCTGTCCCTCAGCTCTTCAGCTCAAGGAGAGCATTCTACCACTTGAGCCACAGCACCACTTCCAGGTTTTTCTGCTTGTGTGGTGCTGGGGAACCGAACCCAGGGCCTCATGCATGCAAGGCAAGCACTCTACCACTGAGCCACCTTCCCAGCCCCTCTTTTATATGGAGTTTGAATTTAGGGCTTGTGTGCTGTCCCTGAGCTTTTCTGCTCAAGGCTAGCACTCTACTACTGAGCCACAGCTCCACTTCTGGCTTTTTGCTGGTTAACTGGAGAGAAGAATCTCACAGATTTATCTGCCCCAGCTGGCTTTGAACCAGGATCTTTACACTGTGATCCTCTGGTTGTCAGAACACAGCCACAGGCCAGCTCCCAGAGGGCCAAGTAACTAACACTGGGTGGACGGAAGGGCTGGGAAATGGAGCCACAACACCTGAACCATCTCTCTAGTGAAATCTGACCGCATGCTGGCTTACAGCCCCACAGCTTCCTGTCCATTCTACTTGCTCAAGGCCTGCAGCAGGAAGAACAGAGTTGTTGTAAAGGGGAGACTTGGGTTGGGGAAAGAGACAGTTGCATGGACTCATTTTCTTATATATAATTTACTAAAATAAATGAATAAGTCCCTCTGCTTATTTGTAAGGCCCTGGTTCTCCTCGCACCCATCTCTTCGAAGTTAGCCCCAGGCCTCAGGGCCTTTGCACAGGCTGCTGTCCCTTACTTGTCCATCTAGAGATTACCCCACCACCACCATCCCCAAACCTCTTACCAGGTACCCTTGTATCTTTTTTCCTTACACAATCTGTGTATGTGCCGGTCTTGTGGTGCAGTCCCTGAGCTGTTTTTTTTTTTAGGCTCAAGGCTAGCGCCTTACCACCATTTGATCCACAGCTTCACCATGTCCACGATGGGTTGAGAAGAAGGTTCCACGGACTTTTCTGCTTAAGATGGTCTGGAACCTCGATCCTCCCATTTTGTTCCCCAAGGTGCTAGGATGACCAGTGTGAACCACTGGAGCCTGGCTGTTCCTTTGTTTTGTTTGCTATTGCGATGAGGCTCATGGGTAGCGCAAGTTGGCCTTGGATCCTCCTGCTTCAGCCTCCAGGTGCTGGAGTTGCAGGGTGAACACCCGCACAGCCAGCTGTCAAATCGATTTTAATTGACTATAAAGCTCTAGGTTCCCCTAGACCAGGTTGTGAACCCTGTAAGGGGGGGGAGGGGTGGGCCTCCTAGGTCCCTGGGGTGCCACACAAGTGTATACCAGCACAAGTGACACCCAACTCCCTAGATTTTTTCTCTTTTGGTCATGGGCTTGAACTCTGGGCCTGGGTGCTGTCCCTCAGCTCTTCAGCTCAAGGCTAGCGCTCTACCACTAGAGCCACAGCGCCACACTGGTTTTCTTGTGGTTTATTGGAGATTGAGTCTGCCTGGGCTGGCTTTGAACGGTGGTCCTCAAATCTCAGCCTCCTGAGTAGCTAGGATTGTATGTGAGCGGCTGACACCAGGATTGAAGATTATTTTTTTCCTCTTTTGGAACTGGAGATGGAACCGGGGACGTTGCCACTGAGCTATATCCAAGCCCAATTGGTTTTTGTTTGTTTAGCTTTTCAGTGCCAGTGATGGGGCTTCCATTCAAGTCTGGGGCGCTGTTCCTTAGCTTTTCTTCCACTCAAGGCTGGCACCCTACCACTTGAGCCACAGTTCCGCTTCAGACTGGTTAACTGGAGGTCTGAGTGGTGTCTGGGACATTTCTTCCGCGGGGTGGTGGGCTGGCTTTGAACCTGGATCCTCAGACCTCAGCCTCCCGAGACTAGGATGACAGGAGTGAACTACTGGTATACCCAGGGTTTGGGGTGGGGTGGGGCCCTCACCCCTCAGGGAACAGAGCAGAGGCAGAGTCTGGGGGGCCGGTGGTTGTAAACAGAGTTTTATTGAGGGGGAGGGGCTGGGGGGGGCGGAGAGGATCCAGGGCTGGGCGGCCACGTGGCATGCTCGGCCAGCCGTCGGGGAGGTCACAGAGGGAGCAGGCGGAGGGGGGCCGGTCTGCCGCCCGGGGGGCCTGCGATCACAGGGGGTGGGGGCCGCCAAGTCTCCGCAGCACCCCTCAGGGCCCCCCCAGCTCCACCAGCCCTTCCAACCGCGGCTGCCCAGGGTGACACCCGGCAGGCCCCCTCCTCCTCCTCCGCGTCTCCCTGAACCCTGACCGGCCCCCTCCGCCCCTCTAGGGGAGGGGGAGGAGGAACTCCAACTCCAATCCGGCACCCCAGAAGCCCCAGGCTTTCTGGAAGCCCCAATATCGGCTCAGCCAATGCTGGGGAGCCCCCCCGCCCCCCAGCTCGGGTCCCACGCTCGCCACACTCGGGCCACCAGGCGGCCTCGCACGCACGCACGCCTCCCGCGGCCCCTTGCACACGACACAGCATGCACACGCACACGCACACGCACGCGCACACACACGCAC